GGGAGGGGCGGGGGAGGGAAATGCAAAAACCCGACAGGAAATGAGACTAAAAAAAAATGCAAAAGGTTAGAAGAAGAGATAAGGAAGAGGGGGAGGGGCAGGGTTTTGGTCCAAGGCTCTGGAGGGAGGGTGCCGGGGAGGGGCCGCCGGGGGAACCAAATCCTGAGACCGGGCGGACCTAAGGACCTAGGCCACCTGGCCCCTGGTGGGGAAGAAGAGGCTGGACTCACCCACCCCAGCTCAGAGAACCCCTAGGACTCAGGTGTATGTATGGGGACCAGTCTTCTGGGCTCCCCCGGGCCGTTCATTTTGCAGGAACCCCAAGGTGTAATTGCAGAGGGGGGCTTGGGCCCCCTGAGAGTGGGAGCAAGGCACCTAGAACCTGGAGCCCGGCTCCTCCCTCCCCAGCCTCTCCTGCAGCTTCCTGGGCTTGTCTGGTGGGCAGCTCCCCTCCAGGGTCTCCTATGTCCACCCGGACACTCCACAGGGACAGAGTTCCCTGCGCCTCCCTATCCGGCCTGCCTGCTCCCCTGCTGAGGAGCACTTCTCTGTTCTCACTCTCAGTTCTCCTGGGCAGCTCTGGTCGGAGAAATGGTGATTTCTGGATGTTATCGTTTTAATCATTTACCCCAGAATACTCGTGAGGTAGGTCTGGAGTGCTCTGCTGTCGGACAAGTTGTGTATGAGACGTGCCCCGGACTTACTCAAATTGTGGGCTCAGCCATCTGCCTGAAGATGAGGGGGTGCAGCTTCATGATGAGTGCTTGCCTGGCAGGAGCAAGGCCCTGGGTTCAATCATGGCACCATTAAATTAATTGATGAATTAATTAGTTAAGAAAATCTACAGAAAAGGAGCACATCAAAGAATCTTGGGTTTAGTGTTCTGGCTGCTGCTCAGCACCACCCCTGCTTCCGAGCCTCAGAACTTCTCGTTCTCTTCTGCCTCAGTTTACCACTCTCTTCTCTCTTTTGATTCAGAAAAAGGAAAGGCATTCACTAACAGCTGTGCAGGAAGATCCAAAATAGAGCAGGGTCTGTGGCCCAGGCAGGAAAGAGTAAAGTCAGGGCACCATGGAGGGCACTGTGGAGGGCGTGGCTTCTGGGATCCAAGTGGGCTGGGGAAGAGGTGAGCTTGCTTTCTGTGATGTGTACTCAGAGCGTAGTCAGGAGCCATAGAGAGGGAAAGATCCTGAAATAAATACCAGGCCACAGTGTCTGAGCCCTTAGCCCCCAGCCATACATCCCACTGCCCCCCAGGGGTCAGGGTCCCAGATAGCTCTATTTTGGTGAAATCCTAAATCTTCTCAGGAGAGCTCTGGCGTCCCTCTCACCTGGCCTGAAAGGAAGCAGGCCCTGACACAGCACTAACTGCTTTTTTGGAGACAAGCGTACAGTCAAGAGTGCAAATTATGCATATAGCTTGACGAATTTTTGCAAAGTGAACACAGCTGTGTAAACCACACCCACACTATGTTCCATCAAAACACGAAACTTCTTGTGTCCCCAGGAATCCCCCTGTGTCCCTCTCCAGTCACTCCCTTTCCAGGGTGATAGCACCCTGGCCTCCAACAGGCATACATCAATTTGCTTGTTTGTAAATGTTAGGGAACTGATCATGTTAAAGTATGCTGTGACGCCGCCTCACAGGCTGCATTCTCCTGGTACTTCTTGGCTCCTAAAATGACCTCATGCCCTTATCTCTGGTTTCCCTCCCCCCCAAGGCCACAGTGGTCCGGGAAAATTGAAACCTGTGTCTGCAGGACTGGGTCCATAAAAGCAATCTGGCCTGTGATAGGTTAAAAGCAGCTCACTCCTCATAAATAAGCAATAGCCCACCCCAAAACTGATAAAAGGACCTTCCTTTCTTTGTTCTCCTCTCTCCTTCTGCTTCTTCTTCCTCCTCTCTCTCTCTCTCTCTCTCTCTCTCTCTGCTCCTTCTCTCTGCTCTATCTCTCTCCTCCCACCCCTTGAATAAAATCTCCAGTCGGACCTCTTGGTGTGCAGGTAGCCTAGTTGTTGAGCGTCACTATTCCTTCAGCAAACATTTTTTTTTTTTTTTATGTATGGAGATTGAACACAGGACCTTTTCACTGAGGTATATCCCCAGCCCTTTTAAAAATATTTTGAGCTGAATGTGGTGGTGCACATCTGTAATCCCTGCACTCAGGAGACGGAGACAGGCATATTGCTGGGAGTTCAAGGCAAGCCTGGGCTACATAGTGAGTTTAAGACCAGCCTGAACTACACAGAGAGACCCTGACCAAAAAAAAAAAAAAATTTTTTTTTTTTTTGAGACAGGGTCTCACTAAATTGCTAAATTGCCTAGGCTGGGTTTGAATTTGCAGTTCTCCTGCCTCAGCCTCCCAGAGTGCTGGGATTACGGATGTTCATCATCATGCCCTAAGGCATGCATAGCTTCCTTTGGGAGTCTGTCCTCTTATTTTCAAGATTTATCAATAGAATCTCATGCAGGTCTAGTTCATTTAAGACATGTTTCCCCCCATGTCCCCAATAAATCTTATTAAAAATTTTAAACTTTTAGAAAATTTAAAAGAACTGTATAGTGAATATCCATATGTCCTACTATTTGATTCTACAATTAACATTTTGCTATCTATTCATCCGCTGATCCTTATTTCTGACGCATTTTAAAATAAGTTGCAGACATCAGTATCTATTGCCCTAAATGCTCTATGGTGTATATTATTAACTAAAGAATTTTTAAAAGGTAAAATTTACATAGAGATTTTTCCCCCTTTGGAACTGGGAATTGTACTGAGCTGCATCCCCACCCCTTTTTAAATGTTATATTTTGAGACAGGGTCTTGCTAAGTTGCGCGGGCTGGGTTTGAACTTGCTGTCTTCCTGCCTCAGCCTCCTTGAGTACTGGAATTACAATGAGCGCCACCCTGAAGTGAGTTTTGATAAATGTGTATACCGTGTCACTCAAACCCTCATGAAGGTGGAACTGTGTGGTACAATATGACAGCTATAACCACACTTGATGATTGAGCACTTGACAGATGGCTCGTACGATTAGAAGTGAATTTATAATTCTATTTAATGTCAGTTAATCTAAATCTAAAAAAATACAGTGACGTCTCAGTTGTCGACCTCAAATCGTTCCCAATTCATGTTTGAGCACTGAAAATTTCCAGAACTGAACATATTTTTGCTATAAGAAATAAGACATAATGGAAAACCCAGTAATTGGCTCTGAAAGCCCCCAAACTACACATATAAATTCATTTTTCCAGGACTTTAACAAATTTCACAATAATTTCTTTCTTTAAATCTATTGTGGTTCTCAGTTTTCCTCTTAGCTTTACTGCTGGTATCACTGACTTTCTTTGGAGCCCTAGTGAAGATATTTTACACAAATAAAGCACACACACATACACACACACACATGAAATACCATGAAAAATGTTTTAATGCACTAACACAAGCACTATATGTTGTCTGGTGAGAATGACCATTAGACTGAAGTGTTGCCCCTTTGTGTCCCTGGTGAAACACTAGGATCTGTGACTCTCTCTCAGCCTCACAGGTTTTTTCAAGTCAGATATTTGGCTCAAATATCTTTTTTTTTTTTGGTTCAACTATTCAGCAAAGTTATGAACACTGAGCAGATTTTTTTCAGATTTTACGTTTCAAGAACTAGAAGGTTTGAGCATGGAACCATTAACCACCGAGGACTGTACTTATTTCTGTTGTCAGAAAACTTTTACATTTATCTGAAGCAGTTTGAGGCCATCCATTGACTTATAAACTGTGTGAAATGCAAACACAGCCAAATGTTTCTGAGAAAAATTTCATGTCTGCCTTGATGCGCTGCAAGTGTAAAAGACACCGGAGTTTGCAGAGTTCATAGGTAAAAAGGAATGTTAGCATCTCATCAGTAATTTTTATGTTGATTGCATGTTGCAATAATACTTTGGGTAAATTGGGTTAAATAAAATAACTCATTAAAATGAATATTACCTGTTTCTCTTTTAGTGTTGCCACTAGGAAATTTTAAATTACACATTTTATTTCTTTTTTATTAGCATATGTTTGTGATACATAATGAATACATTCAGCTCAGGGAGTTGGTACATATACACATTGCATCATAATCCTTTTACTTCCCCTCCCCTCCCTCCCTCCAGTCTCCCCCATTCCCAGGTGTCCTTCCCAGCTCCTTCCTGTTTCCTATCATCTAACGCGTATCTTGCTCTTTAAATTATTTATACTTTGGGATTCTCATATTATAGACTCCATGAGGTATTTAACTCTCTGTGTCTGGTTTATTTTGCCTCACATCATGGTCTCCAGGTACATCTGTTTTCCTACAAATGACTCCTTAGCCTTCCTTGTGGCTGCAGGGTACTCCACTGCTTTGACATAGAACATGACCATCACCCTATAGAGTTTTCTCACTCCAAGATCTGCTCTTTTTGTAACCTGATTCCTCTCCAACCCCAGGGAAGAGACTCCCAAAGTCCTTGAATGAGGACTTCTTGCAGTAAACTGCAATACTGATTATGCCCAAAACAGGCTATAGCAGTACAGGTTGTGAAGAGTTAACCCCACAATTGGCTTGTTTATAGAAGTGAGTCAAGTCCATCAAAATTCCATTCCCACAACTACAACCTTCTTACTAGAAGGACAATGTTCTAATTACAACCATATATTTTGTCTATTCTGTTCCTAATTTGAGAATGCTTTGTTTTGTCCTTTATGAGCCTTGTTTACATTAATTTCCACAGAAACCACATGTAGTCCTGCCCTTACACATAACTTGCCTTTATGCTAGTTGACTGCCAATAAAAATCAGTGGCTTGGACTGGCCAGCACCTTTGTGGGTTGCACCAGCATTGGTCATCCTGGCACCCCACTTTCTCTCTTAGTTCTGTCTTTTCGTGTATTTTTTTTCCCCTTGGGAACCTAAGTGCCGGGGTCTCTGTTAAAGATAATGAAGTAAATAATGTATCTTCTTTTCTGAAAAGTGACAATAAAGATCAGTGGAGGGCAGGTTAATAAAGGTAGAAGTGAGTGTGGGAGAGAAGAATGGTGTCAGTGGGGTAACACAGTTTTGGGAGACAGGGCAGGTGGACAGGAGCTCAGCCTGGAACCTGCAGTAGGGAAAGTGGCTGGAAAAGCCAGCTGTGGTCCCCTCCAGATTCCTTTCCATGGGCCAGACTTGAGTTCACACGGATGGAAGGAAGGCTCTACAGTTGCCAGACCAGGGCTGACCTCTGTGTGGCTTCAGCTTCTGCCTGAGCCCAATGGATGAGGCTAGAGAAATATTTCTTTTTTTTTTTTTATTGAGTTTATTGGTACATTTTAGGTATACAGTACAGTTACACTCATTACTGGGATCTTGTACCTTTACATGTCAGGTCTTGGTTCTCATTATATCTCCTTTTCCCTGCCCTCCCTTTCCCCCTCCTTCTAGAGAAAGATTTCTAAGGGAACCTCAGAGAGGCAAGTGCTCTTCGGGTTGGGGCCAGGTGCCCAAGAAGACCCCCACTTCTTGGCCTCAGGCCTAGTCTTAGCAGAGGAGCAGCCTCGTTCACTCTCCTTGGGCTTCCTAAAGCAGCACTTTCCAATCTATCTGCATTGGTTCCCCTATCTCCCCACCAACGTGGCTAATTCGTTATGGATTGCTTCTTCTATAAAATATAATAAAAATTAATTACTAGAAAATGGAATTTTAAAAAGACGCTCAAGATACAAGCTGGCCGATCACGCTTGGTTATTGTAGCAATGTCAAAAGTGCTATAAAGTTTCAAAATGCTTAGTCTCTGATTCTGTTCTTACCTCGTTGCAGCCTGGTGCACAGAAGGACACAGGCCCATGGGCCAGACTGCTGTGTACCTGGCTGTCCCCAGATACCTTCAAGGATAGAACCTGAATCAGTACAGTGAAAGAGTGGGCTCAGGTGAATACTTAGGACCATGGTCTCCCCAGGTAGGGAGGGAGCAGGTACCATAAGGAGCCAAAGTGTCCACGAAGAATGTCCCCAAATCCAAGCAGCCACCATGCCCACAAAGTAAGAACCAATCGTTACTATGTAACAGGCTGGCCCGATAAAGGGCCAATTCATGGAAATTAAAAATGCAATTGCCAAATTAATAAAATCAATTTGAAAATCTGATAAACAAGTGAGAAGGTGTCTGTCAAATACATCCTTTGAGGCTGGAAAGTGAAAGCGATATAAATACCAAAAGAAAATGAAAAATTCCAGGGGAATGTTGAGACATAAATGATCAATTCAGAAAGACTAATGTCTATTTAAAGTTCCAGCAGGAGGAGAGGAACTGGAGGAGGAATTAATCATGAACTAATAATAATATTTATCAAAACTGATTCTTCACTGCAAATGATCCAGGAAGAAGCTCATACAACTGGGCATGGTGGTATACTCCTGAAGTTCCAGCTTCTTGGGAGGCTGATGCAGGAGGATCACATGAGCCTAGGAATTTGAGGCCAGTCTGGGTAACATAGCAAGATAGCAAGACCACAATTTAAAAAAAGACTATATAGGGTGAGCAATAAAATGGTGTACCCAGATATCCTTATGAAACATTGGGAAGGAAAAAAATAATGAAAAATGAGAAGATCCTATCTATCTATCTATCTATCTATCTATCTATCTATCTATCTATCTATTTTTCCCCTAAAAAGTTTACATTTTTTTATTGACTGGAAATGACGAGAATTGATTCTGATGATTACAACAGACTTCTTAAAGCAGTATGGCAGGTGGACGTGATAACTCTGGATCTCACTGCTGCTAAAGGACAAGGTCAGCCTTGTGGCAGTTCTCACAATGAGCAAATCCCACACAAAGTCGCTGCACGTCATTTCTAAGAAGAGGGGGCCTCTATATAAAAAGGGGTCACTGCCATTTCACTGAAGGTAGTATGTGTCTCAGAAAATAGCAAAATAACTGGTTTCAGTCCAAACATGAATTTTAGTGTCAATAAAAAGGTCCCAAATGAACCAGAAGACCTAGCAAGTTATATATATTGAGTATCCTTTATTTGGAATGCTGGGCCCAGAAGTGTTTCACACTTTGGAATTTTTCGCACTTTGAAATGCTTTCATAGACTTTACTGGCTAAAGATCCTCAACTCAAAAATCCCAAATCTCAAATGCTTCAAATTCTAAATCTGAGTATCATGTCGTACTTAGGATGCCCAACCTGTACTGTGTTAAAGATAAAATGTGAAGTTCAAAATCAGCAGCTGAGAGAGAATCCGCTTTATAAAAGAGAAGGTGGAGAGAGAGAGTTTCTGTGCGTTACCCAGCAGACTGCGTCATTCTGGAAAACAGGATAACCAATCAGGATTTTGGTCTTATTGTTACAATCTTTTCTCTCAGGTCCACATCATCACGATAAACTAATGCCCTCACGTTCTGGACACATTCTTCTCCACACAGCAGGGAAAACAGTGACCCTGTAGGGAAAGGAGGCTGAACAGCTAACCAGCCTCCCGCTCTGAGGCAGTCATTTATACTCTGAAACAGTGTAAGAACTTGAAGAAAAATCTCCTGTGGCACATGGCCAACAAAAAGGGAAAGGAACAACGAGTCCACCTGGGCACTGAGAAGCCCTTCTCTCATGGCTGGGTCTTCAGACAAATTCACAACCAGCTTCAAAGCTTGAACCTTGGTGGTCCCGTTTCTAGCCTGTAACACGTGGGACAGGTCTGCAGTGGAACTGCTCAGCACGTGCTGGTGGTTATTGGTAACCGTCATGCTTGTTAACAGTCTCAGCCTGGTCAACTGCACAGCCGAGTCTGGGGGAACGGACAGGACATCCTTGCAGACTTGATTGATGTATACTCTTGATTTGATTTTCAACATTCACACTCAGGTTATTTAGTGCATTTAAAGCTTTCTCTTTAATACACTGGTTTGGACTGTTGATTTTATTTCCAACAATTGGAATACCACCCGATTCATGAATAATTGCCTGGTTGGTTGAAAAGGCTGCACTGTTACCCAGAGTGAACAAGGCTCTTTCAGTAACTATAGGATCCTCGGTTGATTCAAGCAGGTAGAGGAGTTTCTGAAGTTGTTCAGCATTTCGGATATCATCGTATGAGCCATTGGTTAAATCTTCTGCAGACCGAGAGGAGCACAGCCTGTGCCCACCGCCCTGCAGGCCACGTGCCAAGCGGAAGCCAGCACCCGCACCCCGAGCCAGTCCCGCTGCCGCCCAACCTGTGGCCAGCGCATCACCTATGCTGGGCCAGGAGATAGCGCGACATCTTTCTTTCTTTCTTGGTGGGAGCACTAGGGATTGAACCCAGGGTCTTTGCATTGAATTACATCCCTGTCCCCTTTTATTTTTTATTAAGAGACAGGGTTTTCCTAAATTGCGAAGTTGTGTAATCTGGGTTTGAGCTTGCAATTCTCCTGCTGCAGCCTCCCCAACGTTTGGGATTACAGGAATGCCAACACTGTGCCCAGCTCCCAAAGCCTTTTAGAGAGGAAAAAGCATGAATGGGCTGCTGAGAGTCAAATAGGATTGACAAGTCTCACCAGCAACACTAGATGCTAAAAGACAATGAAGTAATGTCAACGTTCTGAGGGAAATTTACTTTAGGCTTTAAGTTCTGTATTCAACCAATAATCAACCAAATGTGAGAGCAAAATAAACCATTCTTAGACATGCAGGGAGCTGTGGAAATTCACTTCCCAAGGACTTCTTAAGAAGAAGTTCCTTGAGAACATACTGCAAACAGCATGGGAAAGAAATCAAGGAGAGAGGAAGATAATTGATCTAAGAAAAATTGAAGTTAAGTCCAGGATGATAATAAAAAGGACAATAGAAAATAGTAATTTTGCCAGAGGCCTAAGAAAAAGGTCAGTGTACGTCAGTGCTTTCACTACAAGCAGGGCTAGCTAGTGGGGAGATCCTTGCCACCAAACGAACCAAAGAGAAATGTTGAAGAGGTAGACTGAATTATGTTTTAGGCCAGATTCATCTAGAAATCTTACTTGATCATAAATGATCATTTCTAGGAACCTTTCTCCATTGTTGGTGGGAGTGCAGACTGGTGCAACCACTATGGAAATTAACATGGAGACACCTCAAAGAGCTGGGACTAGAGGTTCCACTTGACCCAGCCACCCCTCTGCTGGGTACCTTTCCAAAAGAATTAAAATAATCATACCAGAGTGATATATGCACACTCATGTTTATAGTGGCACAGTTTGTAATAGCTAAAACTTGGAAACAGCTCATTTGCCCCTCAGTTGGAGATTGGATAAAGAAAATGTGGTTTTTCTTTTTCTTTTTTTTTTCAGCTTTAATTGAGTTATTGGTACATTTTAGGGATACAGTACAGTTACATTCATTGTTGGGATCCTGTACCTCTACATGACAGGTCTTGATTCTCATTTTTTCCCCTTACCTCTGCCCTCCCTTCACCACCTCCTCCCCTCCCCATCTTCTTTATCTCACATTTTTTCTTTCCCCTTATTACCCTTCCCCTACCCATTCCACCTTCCCTACACCTTTAGCCCCTTTATTCCCATTTCACAATGTTAGTAAGCTTATTAGGGTCTTATGTATCATTGCACTTTATTCAGACCAGAGAAACTATTCGGTATTTACACATGTGTGACTTATTTATTTCACTTAGGAGTACATCTTCAATATGTATCCATTTTCCTATGAATGAATCTATTCTCTCATTCTTTATGGCTGAGTAATATTCCATTTTATAGAAAAACCACATCTTCTTTATCCAGTCTCCAACTGAGGGATAAATGGGCTGTTTCCAAGTTTTAGCTATTACAAACTGTGCCGCTATAAACATGGGTGGGCATACATCAATGTGATATGATTCTTTTGAAAAGACACCCAGCAAAGGGATGGCTGGGTCAAATGGAGCCTCCAGTCCAAGCTCTTTGAGGTATCTCCATATTGATTTCCACAGTGGTTGCACCAGTCTGCACGCCCACTAACAATTGAGAAGAGTTCCTCTCTCCCCACAACACTGCCAACATTTGTTATTGTGTGATTTCTTGATAGCAGCCATTCTTTGTGGGGTGAGGTGGAATCTCAGTGTTGTTTTCATCTACATCTCTCGAATGACCAGTGATGTGGAACATTTTTTCATATATTTACTTGCTGCTTTTATTTCTTTGTCTGAGAAATGTCTGCTCATTTTGGATGCCCATTTTTGAATTGGGTCTTTATATTTGGGGGGGCTGATTGTTTTGAGTTCTTTATATATTCTAGATAATAGTCCTTTGTCTGGGGAGCAGCTGGTAAAAATTTTTTCCCACATTGTAGGTTGCCTCTTAGTTCTGCTGATGGTTCTTTGGCAGTACAGAAGCTTTTTAATAAGATGAGATCCCAGTTGTTGATTCTTTCTGCTAGTTCCTGTGCTACTGAGGATTTATTCATAAAGTCTTTTCCTATGCTAATGTCTTCCAGAGTTCTGCCTAACTTACCTTCCAGAAAGTTTAATGTTTCTGTTTTAATATTTAGATCTTTAATCCACTTGGATTTTAATTTAGTGCATGGTGAAAGATAAGGGACCAATTTTAATCTGTGGCAGGTTGAAATCCAGTTTTTCCAACACCATTTATTAAAGAAGCTATCTTTCCTCCACTGAGGATGGTCAGCTCCTTTGTCAAAGATGAGGTAGCTGAGTACATCTGGATTTATTTTTGTGTCTTCCAATCTGTTCCACTGATCCTCAGGCCTTTTTCTTTGCCAGTACCATGCTGTTTTTATCACAGTAGCTTTGTAGTATAGTTTCATATTGGGAATTGTTATACCTGCTTCCATGTCTCTGTTGCCTAGGATGGCTTTTGCTATTCAAAGTCTCTTACAGTTCCAAATGAATTTTTGGATTCTTCTTTCTAGCTCTGTGAAGTATACTGTTGGAATTTCAATTGGCATTGCATTGACTCTGTACAGCAGTTTTGGTAGTATGGCCATTTTCACTATGTTGATTCTTCCTACCCAGGAGCAGGGCATATCTTTCCATTTTTTAATATCCTTTTCAATTTCTTTTTTCAGAGTGCTATAGTTTGCAGTGTAGAGATCTTTTGCTTCTTTTGTTAGATTGATTTCTAGATACTTCATTTTTTTTGGATGCTATTGTAAAATAAATTTTTTCCCTTATTTCTCTCTCAGTGAGTCTGTTATTTGCATATAAGAAGGCTATTGATTTTTGGGTGTTCACCTTGTATCCAGCTACTCTACTGAATCTATCAATTAAGTCTAGAAGTCTTTTGGTGGAGTTTTTTGGGTTTTCAATGTAGAGTATCATATCATCAGCAAATAATGACAGTTTAGCTTCTTCCTTTCCTATCTTTATTGCTTTAATTTCTTTCTCTTGTCTAATTGCTGTGGCTAATATTTCCAGAACTATATCGAAGAGGAGTGGTGATAGTGGGCATCCTTGTCTTGTTCCTGATTTTAATGGGAAGGTTTTCTGTTTTTGGCCATTTAATATGATGTTGGCTATTGGTTTTTCATAGAGAGCCTTTATTAAGTTGAGATATAGACCACCTATTCCAATTTTTTGCAGGGTTTTTATCATGAATGGGTGTTGAATTTTATCAAATGCTTTTTCTGAATCTATTGAGAGCATCATATGGTTTTTGTCCTTGACTTTGTTAATATAATGTATTACATTTATTGACTTACGCATGTTGAACCACCCTTGCATCCCTGGAATGAATTCGACTTGGTCAGGATGTATGATCTTATTGATAATCCTCTGTATTCTGTTTGCTAGTATCTTATAAAAGATTTTTGCATCTATATTGATTAAGGAGATTGGCCTTAGTTCTCTTTTTTAGTTGCATCTTTCCCTGGCTTGGGAATCAAAGTGATACTTGCTTTCAGGAATGAATTTGAAAGTATTGCTTCCCTTTCAATTTCATTGAAAAGTTTGGAGAGTAATGGCAGTAGTTCTTCTCTAAATGTCTTGTAAAATTCAGCAGTGAATCCATCAGGGCCTGGGGTTTTCTTTGTTGGTAAATTTTAAATTACATTTTCAATTTCACTGACTGTAATTGGGGTGTTTACAATGTTTTTATCTTCTATGTTCAACTTTGGTAATTCATAAGTATCTAAAAATCTGTCCATTTCTTCTGTGTTTTCCATTTTATTGGAGTACAGGTTCTCACAGTAGGTATTAATGATTCTCTGAATTTCTTTTGGATCTGTTGTGACTTCACCTTTTTCATTCCTGATTGCATGGATCTGAGCCTTTTCTTTCCTTTTTTTTTTTTTGATAAGATTGGCTAAGAGTTTGTCAATTTTATTTATTTTTTCAAAAAACCAGCTCTTTGTTTCATTTATTTTTTGTATTATTTTCTTAGTTTTCATTGCATTGATTTCTGTTCGAATCTTCATAATTTCCTCTCTTGTTTGAGCTTTGGGTTTTTCTTTCTCTTGTTTTTCTAGGAGTCTAAGATTCATCATTAGGTTGTTTATTTGAGTTAGCTCTGTTTTCCTAGTGTGGGCATTCAATGTTATGAATTTTCCCCATAGAAGTACTTTCATTGTGTCTCATAGATTCCTGTATGTTGCATTGGCATTTTCATTTATTTGTAAAAACTGACTAATTTCTTCTTTTATTTCCTCTGTAATCCATTGATTGTTCAGGAGAGTGTTGTTCAGTTTCCATGTGCTTATGAAGTTCCTACTGTTTCTTGTGCTTCGATCTCCAGCTTGATTGCACTATGATCTGATAATATACTGGGGATGACTTCAATTCTTTTGCATTTATTCAGACCTGTTCTGTGAGCCAATATGTGGTCTATCTTGGAGAATGATCCACATGCAGCCAAAAACAATGTATATTCTGATTTTGTGGGGTGGGATACTCTGTAGACATCTATTAAATCCATGTGTTCCAAAGCTTGGTTCAGCTGTATTATTTCATTGTTGATTTTCTGCCTAGATGATCTGTCAATTTGTGATAGTGGGGTATTTAAATCCCCCACTAAAATTGTATCAGTGCTTATTTGGTTTTTCGTGTTACTTAATATTTGTTTTATATAGTTGGGGGCATTTATATTTGGTGCATATATGTTTATGATTGTCATCTCTTCCTCTTGAATTGTTCCCTTTACAAGGATGTAGTGGCCTTCTTTGTGTCTCTTAATGAGTTTTGGTTTGAAATTTACTTTGTCTGCGAATAAGATTGGTACCCCTGCTTTTTTCTGAGCTCCTGACGCTTGGAGAA